CCTTCCATGTTTCCTTCCCCTGTTTTGTGGATGTTCTTATGCATCCAACAGAAATACAACTTGGCAGCTGTCATGAAACTCCACAGAAACAACTGGCAGTTGCAGGCAAAAAAAAAAAAAAAAAAAAAAAAAAGAAAAAAAAGAAAAAGACACACCCAAGGGCTAATACTATGAATCTTAGAGGGGATTATACCCTTAAAAATAGATTTTGAGCAGATTAATACCTTGTGGCAAGGGCTGGTGGAAGTGTGGTGGTAACTTAGTACTGGCAATGGAGTGCAATACCCAAAAGCAGAGCTGGCAGGAATAAAGATCCTCGTTACCTGAGCACAGCAATAATGGGGCAAAAATATAAAGTGATTCAGACAGCAACTGCTGCCAAAGAAGGAAAGGAGGATGGCTCTACAAGATTGTGTGGCTATTTTTATGGAAAACAAAGGTGTTCCAAAATGGACCCTAATAAAAGCAATTGTTTTACACTACTTGCTGTGTTAGAATGTAGTTTTCATGAAAGGAATTTTATTGTTCTTCTGGTTTTTTTCAGACTCAGAGATTTCCAGTGAAATGTTTTGTTCTTTTATTCCCCTTGAAAGAAAAAGAAGCTTTAAAAACTACTTCACATGTTCAAGGTTTTTCTTATTGTCTCTCTGACTGCCAATTCCAAATATTTGCTTTCCAGAGGTTTTTATTGTTCTCCACCATGCCAATTTCTTATCAGATGAAACAGGAATTAACTTGTTTTGCCTAATTTAGGCCTCTCCATTTCAAAATATTCTCTCTTCAAAATATTGATGTTAAATACTTCTATTTTCCTATGCAAATGTGTGAATGTTCAAGCCTTTTGCACAGTATGCACAAGGACTCTAACTTGATCAACATGTGCTATTCCATTCTTAAAGTTCTTTATGATCTCTGTTTACTTTCCATTTTAATGATTTCATTTATTAATTCCTTATTAACATTTTTAAATGAAAATTTTGTCTCTTCTTCTGGATTGGTTTTATAATTTATAAACCCTTATCTAATTGCATAAATATAAATAGATCCCTTTAAAAAGAATGCCATGATTACTGAAAACATAAAATATTGCTTTTTTAACTCTTCAGGTGCACTGCTTATAAATGTAATATATCTTTTTGTTTGATGTAACATATTAAAGTCTACAGTATTTTAATAATCATATCTTTAAGGGGATCGTTTAAAAAAATCATATGTGGGCAGGACTGATTCCTATTTTTTGAAATCCTTGCATAACTGTTATAATTTTCTTTCATGCTGAAGACCAACAATCTCACCAGTTAGTTCAACAGGAGTTGCCTCCAGTGCTAAGTTTGGTGTCCTGGCCCTGCTCCAGATAGCATTTTGCCAGGACGTGGAGCAGACTGCAGTGGTGGTGCTGATGGATGATCATCCCTTGTTTCTAGACAAGAGCTATATATCCAACTTCTATTATTGCACCACTCAATAGCATTAATATAGTTAAACTTGGGATTCTTCTAGATCCTATCACAGATGTGGCAAATTTATTGACTTTCTTTTCCGGTGACTTTATCATTCTTTTTTCTCTGCACCTCAGAGTCCAGACCAGTATTTCCTCTGGACACTCCATCTACAGTGTCTTGTCATGGTTTGTCAGCAATATCCAGGTGGCATGCATCAGCTTCTCTGGAGATGCAAGCATCACCAGTCTCTTCTGGTTTCCAAACAAGAGCTTCACTCTTTAGAAATCTATCTGGATTTTCCATCGCTGCTATGCATAATAATAGTTTTTAGTTTTCAGAGAATGATTTTCTTTTCCAGGATGTTTGAGAGTTGATGCCTGTGCATCCTCTCAGTGCTCATGCTATGGATGAAAGCATTTCATTCTCAGTTTAACACACTGGGAAAATGAAGCAACTGATTCAAGAGGACAGAGAATTTAAACCTGGTCAGGGTTAATATCTGTTCGTGCCTTCAGTAGTCTTGCTATTGACCTTAGCAGGGCTTGGATTAGTGCCTGCAAGATGTGGAATTAGATTTCAAGAATTATTGACTGAGTCCTCTTCAGTATACCTCAGCACTATCACCTTCTGAAGGCACAGAGTCCCGGCACTCCTAGAAGGACATTCCATGAGTGTTGGACCCCAGCACTTTGCTCATGCTCCTGTCGATTGATTCTAGTTGTAAAAGAAACTGATGACAAAGCCATGTACTTATTTAACACAGGCAAAGTTACTTACAAAGTCACATCTACTTGGATGTGCCAGGAATGAGTGGCAAATAATTTTCTTCTGCTTAATTCACAAACCTGTTCTGATTAACATGCAGCCTAAAAACTCTCCTCCCCATGCCCAGATTTGCAGTGTTTGTGGACATGAGTTTCCCTGTGGCCATCTCCCTTAGATTTGTTTTTCTCTGTGTCTGCAGCACTGCCAAAGGAAAATTCAGAGAACTGTACCCTATTGAAACCTGCCGTCTTTGCTCTGGGTGAGAACATGTGCCTGTGGTTTGGGCAGAGTTTGCTGTTATTTCATGTCACTAGCCCTGGAGAAAAGCTGAAATGTATCTGGTGGTTGTCTTAAGGACAGAACAGCAAAAGCTAAATACACCTTGTGGTAGCACTTGACAGATGATGACCTTTTTCCTTGGCTGTGACATGGGGCCTGAAAGGTACTTATGGGACAGGGAGAACTTGGCCTTCTGTCCATCATCTTGTGCCTGTGCTTCAGAATGCTGCAGCTCTACTGTGGATATTGGATTCAATATGAAATTTCATACCTGGCTGGGACTGTAGCAGACCCTACACTTGTCCAGAGGGATGGACAAAATGCCTCATTTGGCATCTCCTGATGCCAGGGGAGGACTGGTATGGCACAGTGTGTTGTGTGCTAGCGTGGTGACCTGCTTTGCATGCCACTGAGCTCTGTGGGATGTTTTAGCAGGGAGTAACAAAGATGGAGGTCCACCCACAGCCAGAGAGTGCTGCACAGGGTCGTCTTCTGTGACTGTCAGAAGCCTGACTTGTGAAACTGAGATTAAGATTATCAGCAGAGCCTAAGGACTTCTTTGAATTATGTGTTAGCCTTTACCTCTAGCTTCATTTCCCAGCATTCACCATGAATATTTAATATATGGCCACCAGTGCATCTTGCAGAATAAATGACAGCCTCCAAGTTTCAAAGCTAAATCTGAAAAGCAATGCATATACATTGATACTGGAAAAAAAAAAAAAGCATCACACCCAGAGCAAATCCTTTTTCAAAACCCACTTATTAAAAAAAGTAATGTAATATCATGACTTTTCATTAATACTAGTCTTTACTAAGCCTAAAGCAAATCCTTGCTTACTGTGCACTTGCTATGCTTGTTGTACAAGACTGCCTGAAGGTGGTGAAGGCTCGCAGTCAGTGCATGAAGAACAGGGAACGTGCGGCTGAGACAGATATGAGTTCCTTTTGAGTAGTTCTCAGTCCTCAGTTGTCCTTCCTGGAGAATATGATTATGGATGTTTCACAGGAACAATAATGCTAATTTTCAGCCCCCACAGAGCATTTTACACCTGCAAAGTGCTATAAATATGTGAGCTAATACTCACCAATAAGTGAGTATTGCTGTGCCTGTTTTATAGATGCAGAACTGAAGATACAGAAAGGTCAGAGGCCTGACCCAGGGCCACATAGCTTCCCAGATGCAGATTTAGGATGAAGAAACTGGTGTCTCTCTGGTCACATTTCATTAATCATGCTGCCTTCTTAAAATTAACTCAAATCTCATATACATACACCTATATACATATATGTGTATATGTATGTATAAAATACTTGAGAAGGAGTTGTTTCCCTCTTCCCTCTTTGCTTCTTCAAAATAAACAAGCTCCTGAGCTACCAATCCCCATGTTTACACGTATCATTAAATACTTTCCAGTTGCTAGCCAGAAAACTCAGCAGAAAATCTGTAGAACACCAAAGTAACTCTCTTCTTTTAAATAATTGATGATGCCAAATAGCAGCAGTGTTATGCCAACAAAGAGATCGGTCTCTCAAAATATTTTATTCATTTTGCCTCAAGAAACCCAAAGCCTTGTTTTTAGCGAAAGTGAATTTCAGAAGTTGGCTCTCAATTCCTCTGAAACATCTGCTTATTACAATTCTTGGTGTTAAAGCACTGGTGCTCCCCGGTAAATCTTTCAGCTCTAAGTAATACGTATGGAAGTCTTGGCAAGGAGAGCAGGAAGGAGAAAGAGAAATGCTTGCCAAATATTCATCTTACTTTATAAGGCTGTAGTGGTATATGTTAATAGTACATGTGTTGAGGTGAATCTACTAATCCGATTAAATAACAGGACAAGAAGGAATTAATTCCAAGGTTCAAAAAGACTCCATTCTCTGCAGCTGTAAATATATATTCCAGGGTAAAATGGTTAGAAGTCTTGGCTAACTAGACATCTATAAAGCAGCCAGAAATGGATCTTTCTCTGTATTGTTTGTAAATCAAGGTCACTTATGTGAGAAGGCTATGTTGTGATAAATCTGTCTGACAATTAGATGGAGAGGACATATCAATGTTAAATTATATTCTTTTTAGGCTTTGGGCAGAAAGCAATGTAAACACCACAGTAGCATTATGAAAAGAAAATTGCATTCCAGATAATAACAGATATTCATGGTGCATGGTTTTACACATTAATGTGCTACATTTTACTCAGTCATGTTAATATTTTAGATTATGTAACGTTCCCTTCTTTATGCGTAGTTTATTTTTTTTCGCTGAGAATGCAGCTCCCTCCTCCTCATCCCCCTCCCCCTCTTCCTTTCCCTTTCTCTCTCCTTCTCCCTCTCTTCTCCCTATTTCTCTGCCTTTTCCATTTTTCTATTTTTCCTTTTCCCCTTGTCCTAATTCTCACAGCGATGCTTGTGAAACAAACAAGGACAATGGACTTAAAGGGAAACTGTCCATACAAGAAAATTTTAATAGGTAGTTTCAAGATTTATAAGCCAGAATTTTATGTTCTATGCTTACAGATTCAATCTGTGTACCAGGCTTTGATCCAAGCCTTAGCATGATGACTGGAATCACTCCAATTAACCCAATGATACCAGGCATGGGGTTAGTGCCACCACCACCACCAACAGATGTGCCTGTAGTCAAAGAAATAATTCACTGCAAAAGCTGCACACTCTTTCCTCCAAACCCAAGTAAGTCATCTGAAGAAAGAATGTTATTTTCCTAAATGCATTGCATGAATATTTTTTATCTAATAACAGTTATGCTTTATAATTACAGGCATGTGTGGTCTTTCCTCCTAAGTCTATTCTGTGTGTAAAGCATGGTATGGTATAAGTGTATCCTTATTCACCTCTGTAAGGTCACATAAAAAACTGTGAAGCTTGTACAAAAAAGAAAAAAACTTAAAGAAAAGTAACAGCCTGAAGATCTACACTTCTCATAGTATATACCTGTCTTTCCTGTAGATCAGGATGTCACAAAACATAAAGCTTATATGGTGCTGTTCATCTCTGTGCTCCCCTTCAGGTGCCTGTAGTTAGATGGGACCAGTTGAGGCTCATGTCCCTGAACTGGGACTGTAGGGGTGCAGTACCTTGCACCCCAAACTGCCTCTCTACAGTCCCTTTTTGAGGGACATGGAGAGAAAGGAGGCTACAGCTTCTCTCCTGCCATTTTTCAAAAGGTTCAACGTGGCAGATGAGTTCCTTTTTCTTTTAGAAAGCAGGGACCAGGTTCCTTCCTGTTCCTGATGTGACTGTGCAAATGAAAAACTCTTCCCACTCAGATACCAGGCACAATCTCTGATTTTGAGTGTTGGCCCCATGAGTTTCAGACCCATGATACCAGTGGCTTTCAATATCACTGTGAAATGAAAACATTGAGCAAATATTCAGGTGCTCTGGATTTGCAGTGCATCCAGATCACAGTTTAATCAAACTGGTTATGTATGTGAGTATGTATGTATGTATGTATGTATATATATATATATACGCTTTAAGGTTGCAACCTCCTTTACTGTGTTAAAGGGCCAAAAAATAAGTAATATTAGTGATATTGATTTTTAGAGAATTACTTTCACTGTCTACTAACAAGGTGAAGTGTTATAATAGCTTTTATTTTTTATATGGCTTTCAAAAATTTAATCGTTTTTCCGATATAGGTGTTTATAAATTCTCTCTCTATGTACATGAAGGTAGCATTTTTAGCTACTCCACCTCACGAGCACTTGTAAACAATGAGGTTATCCTTCCCCTGTGCTGCCGTCTGCTCCATTATCTGGCAACAAGACAAAACAGATAACCGGCAGAGTGTTTTCATCATGCTGTCACTTTGTTGTGTTTCCCACTTTTTTTTTTCTGTTTGCTGTGCTCCTGTACACTGAGACAGAAATGAAATTATGCTAATACCAGGGAAAGGTGTCCAGTCCAAGTGCACAGGGTGTACACAGCATGGGCTTGCTCACAGCCCACACACATGGTGAGCATGGCGAGTGATGGGTATGAGCCAGAGATGGGGCAGTTCAGGCTTTGAATGCACTGCACTAGAGCCTGAGATCTGTGCTCAGGGTCCAATCAGGTGCAGAAGCTCCTCTGCTTTGAAACTGAATATTTTTATGGATTTTGTGTGGCTGTACAGGGAAGAGAAAGACCATTTTAGGCCGCACTGTCTGTCCTGGTGAACAACCTGCAGTGGCAAGAATAAATGTTTGAAGTACCACCTGAAGCTTGAAAAGGTTTAGATTCAAGTAATCAGTTTTGGATAATCTCTGCACTATTCAATTATTTTGCTTATCCCTTTCTTCTGCCTCTATGTCAGGTAACTGTTGCTGCCCAGAACGGATTAAAGGGATGAGTAGAGCCAATGGATCAAAAGGTGAATTTTGTATTCCAATGTGATTTCTGTTTTGACTTAGATCTTCCACCACCTTCAACAAGAGAGAGACCTCCTGGGTGTAAAACAGTGTTTGTTGGAGGATTACCAGAAAACGCAACGGAGGAAATTATTCAGGAAGTCTTTGAGCAGTGTGGAGATATAACAGCAATTCGGAAAAGCAAGAAGAATTTTTGTCACATCCGTTTTGCAGAGGAGTTCATGGTTGATAAAGCCATTTACCTTTCTGGTACTTCACATTCTTTAATGGATTTTCCTTGCTTCTGATTTGTATTTTGTGATGCTAATGCTTGCTTGTTTTCTTAGCTTTTATCTCGGCAAATCTTTCCTGAACTCAGTGGCTGTAGCATGAAGTGGCAAGGGGCAATTCTGTTACTTCTCCCTGTCTGCCAAGACTCATGCGTGGTGTTTTATGTTACTTACCTGGGAGCAATTTCCAGCCATCCCACAACAATGCAACAGATCCTGAAATTCACTACAGAACAATCTTATTTTCCATTTACACAGGTTTATATAGTTTTGCTCACAGGTTGTGGAAAGAGGAGGGCACCAGGCCAGGAACTCTGCTGTTTTCCAGTGCCAATTTTTCTGATAGGCTGGCAATTTCACTGGCATATTTTTATAGATTTGTGGTGCAGCCTGAATAAAGTCTGTCTTTATGCATGTATGTATTCAGCTACTGCATGGGTTAGATTCTGAGCCCCATCTGTAGGCTACGTCTGTTGCCTCCCATGACAATGAGTGCTGCAGAAATTACAGTTTGTAAAATTTCAGAATCTCTTCATTTTCCAACAAAGGAACAGACAAAAAGAAAACCCAAAACAGAACAAAAAAACAAGGAAACAATCCCCTCCTCCCCCAATCTCTAATTTACTGGGGAAAAAATTAAGAAAAAAAAGATGAAAAACAAGTCTGCTTTTTTGGCTTCTGTGACTGTCAGTGTCCTCTTAAGGTTAATTTCTATCATTTGAGGATTGACTTGCTGAACAAGTCCTTTTTCACCTTACTAAGTTGGCTCACATGCACTGTATGTATTTGTCTGCACTCCACAGGCTGTTTCATCCATATTTTTGGGTCCTGGAGAGACTCAAAAGCACTGTTTTCACTGACAATTTTAGTGTAACACTTTCAACCCATATACAATGTATTCTTGAATAAACAACGTCCAGGCAGTGCTCCTTGGCCAAGACAAGCTGACAAAGACTGGCTTACTTACACAAACTCTGTGTTAGGTGACCTCAAAGCACCCACTGGGACCATCCTTTTGAGCCTGAGAGAGAGTTAACAACCCAGGACTCTTCTCTGAGCTCCCACCCTGACCATCTTCTGTTTAGGAATAAGGACAGAACCTCAATATCCTGTAGGTGTCCATGGGAAGCTCCCCCAGCTGGAAACAAGCTGTGTCTCAAATCACCGTCAACTATATAGAAAGAAAGAGAAAGAAAGAGAGAAAGAGAAATAGAGAAAGAAAGAGAGAGAAAGGAAATAAGGAAAGGAAAGGAAAGGAAAGGAAAGGAAAGGAAAGGAAAGGAAAGGAAAGGAAAGGAAAGGAAAGGAAAGGAAAGGAAAGGAAAGGAAAGGAAAGGAAAGGAAAGGAAAAAGGAAAGGTCTCAACTTTTGAAATATTTCATCAGGAAAAACTCCTTTGTTTCTCAAAGGTTTTCCTCAGGGTTTTTAGGTTGTTTGAGGTTTATTTTCCTAACTTGGCTGCTTGCTTTAATTAGCTGTTTGAAGAACTACAGAAAATCATGAATGTTATGGGGTCTATGTAAAGATTTCTTTGAAATGTTGCTATATTTTCAGGCTTATGCCAGATCTTTATTCCACTCCAGATTTTTCTTCCTTTCTTTTTTTTTTTTTTTAATTTAATTTTCACTTCAGTTCTTTCAGCCCCTCCTCACCCATCCTCTCTTCCTGATTTCCATGCTTCTCATTTATTTGTTTATTTGTGTTACTTCCAAAATGCTCTAGATCATTGCAGCAGATTAGAGGCATCACAAGCAGTAGCACATTTACCAGCTTCCAGCTTCTGTTTAGGGGACCCTAGTAACAGAACAGAAGAGGGGCACACCAGATTCGGTTGGAACTGGTATTACTGTATTGTGATAAAGAAAATAGTGGCAAAAAAGAGAGCAAAGAAAAGCTCAGAAATATACGGGCTGCCACCTTGGGCCAGAACCACTGTTCCTCTAGCTCAGTTTCATGCTTCTCAGCAGCACCAGAGTGCTCACTCAGAAGACAGGACATTAGTAGAAATGGAGGTGAAAGATTCCTTTCCTCATGCTTCCTCATTCTGAATTTTTTGCAAATTTCATTCCAAGTTCCTGGTGCACCATTCCTTCTTCTGTTTCCTTCTGTCACAGTCACGCTGCTGCCTGTGCTTCCTCTTACGTCTGCTCCACAGCCTCCCTTCCCATCCATTTTTTCCTCCACAGCTCTTCATTCTTCCAAAGTGTTGTAGCTATTGTCTCCAGCCAGACAAGGGAAAGAACCAGTGCAACTGACAGGGATGAGAAAGAAATGCAGGAGCACTCTGTAGGCGAGTTCCACTTCTTTTTACCAAGGCTGCTGAACTGTGCAGATGACACATGAAGCACTGACTGTCCCCCACCACTCCCAGGGAAGGGTGGCACTAGGCAGGGGCATGTTTTTCTTGTACTGAAATCCAGGGTGGGGGGTTTGCCAGTGTTTATTCCATTCTCAAACTTAATATATTCTGAAATAGTGGGAACAAAGCATATTTTTGAGGCATTTTATTTTCCCTGTAAGAGACAAAAGAGATGTACAAATATAATATGTGTGTTATATTAGGGGAAAGTCATGCCTTTGATATTTCTGGTATAATGACAATTTTGTCTACCTAATCAGTTTTATCTATCTACCCCATCTAATCTCATCAAGTTTTGCATTTATCCCATGCTTATCATCAGAATAGAGCAAGTGATTACAAAATCCATCAAGCAGTTTAATCACTGGGTTTTTTTTTTTCCCCTTTGTACACCCAAGTAAACGTGTATGAAAAGGGAGACTGGAAGATGGGTAGAAGACTATGATAAGAATGTCGACTTGAGGAAGTCTAGGTTTCATTTAACCTTTAAAGATGTATTTTGATCCCCCAAGGAAAAGACTTTCCAAAATCATCATACCAGTCCATGAGAAAGCTCTTTCTCAAAACTGTATGTACTTTACTCTTTTGGCTGAAAACTTGGTAACTCCTGCAAATATTGATGGTCCCAGAGTTGAATATATGGGACAAACAGGTGTCTGGAGACAGACCTGTTTATACCCCAAAAGCCCATGTGTGCATTTTTTTTGTGCTGATATTTCCCCCCGTGGGTTTCCTTTCAGTACCATTTACTTGTTTCATTTTAAGTTCTCTCTGATCACCATTAACACTCTGATCTAGATCCCCAGTTAGCCCTCAGCTATTGGCTGGTGTCCAGTATAGCAACACTCAAAGGTAAGTCAAGCCATGGAGTTTGCACTAGACCTGTGATATGAAAATACTGTTTGATTTTTATTTAGCACTTTCATTAACTTTTCCTGTTTCTGCTCCTTTAAAGTGAGGATCTTGGCAAGTTCCCAAAACCTTTTCGTCTTCCACTGTGTGCAAACTTGAAATTAAAAATGACAAGCCAGGCACAAAGTTAATGCTAGCTGCAGCCCTGAGCAATGAAATGGGAAAAAAATTCATTGCCCATGCATGAAGGAGAGGCAGTGCCAGGTGTTTCTCTTATACATTCAAACACCCTCAAACATCAATAGGGAGACATGATATTGAAAAAACCAAGCCTCCCAGCTGCCTTGAGGCTCAAAATTTCCAGCACAGATGGGTGCCTGAGGATCTCATGTACAAAATAGAGCCTACCAGTTGTGCATGCAGAGTCTTCCTGGTTATCAAACCATCAAGGAGTCTGTTCTTCACTGGCCAAGTCATTGGTCCTATAATGTCCCAGTATATGAAGGTGCAAGAAACCATCCTTAAGGCATTTGTTGTTCTTGTTAAGGGAAAGATGCCAAACTGTGACCATTCTGATCTGACTTTGAAGCTAACCCTGCTCTGGACTAGGTGATATCTAAGGTCCCTTCTTAGCTAGGTTATTCTATGTTTCTGTGCTGGTGGAAATCACTTGGCTGGCTGGCCACCTTCAGTCTTTAGAGTTAAATGAGCAGTCACATTTTTTTAGCGTGATTCATGGTAAATTTCCAAAATCTGTTAATATGGTTTCCCAAAGGGAACCATTTGTCCAGTGCTACTGCAATGTACGCTGTTCAGGTTTTTTTTCCCATTTACTTCAAAAGTGAGGGCCACTTTAATGCAACTCAGCTTTGCCACTGCACACAAAACCTATAGATGCACAGTCCTTTTCATTAGCTCTTTATTCAGCTTATGTGAGGGGCCTTGAAGTCCACAAGGGTTTTGCCTCCTGCCGTGCTGTGTTTCTGTCTCTGCCCATAACTATTGTGCTCCCGCCAATGGAGGCAAAAGACAGCTGGGGGAGAGGAAGAGAGATTGAGTCTTCCTGGAAAGTGCAGCCCAGCTGGGAGATCTAATTTTAGGTTCACAAGACCTGGCACCTTGGCAGTGTCCTTTGCATTGCTGATAATGCTGTTCTGGCACAGAGCAAGCAGTGTGTGAGGAATGCAGCTGGCACGCCAAACTGGCGGGGAGCAGGGGGCTAACATTTGTCACAGTTATCACGGTAGCTGCACCAGTGACCCCTTTTGGCTGACTCCTTTGTGCCTACACCTCTGTGGATAAAACCATATAATTACACCCTCATTAGTTCAGAGCCCAGTTCTGAAAGGTCACCCATGCTCTTCTTCTGTTATTTCACACTGAATAGGTTGTATCTGTAACTCTTCCCTTCCACGCCTTGGGACTAGAGCTACGTATATGGCCACAAAAAGCTTTTGGGGTAAAAGAGTGGTGTTTTCTTCTCTAAGTTAGAGAAAGCAAAGCCAAGAGGAATTTAAAATAATAAACTGTCCCCTCCTTTGCCACTCCTACAAGATCCAGTTTTACTTCACCCCAAGCTCCTGAATCTTGGAGATCAGATTTGATAGGTTCCACTGGCAGGAAACTACCAAAACCATTCCTTGGTAAGGCAGTTTTTTATGCCTTCTGGTTTTGAAGGACCTCTGAAACACTTAGCTCAAGTTTTTCATCTGGGTTTTCACTCCTTGCTGGACAATGAAAGTCATATCTTTTCCTGACCTGCAGACTCCTTAGCTGAACTCCATAGGTGTTTGAAAGGAAAACGTCAAATCAAAAGGCTCCCGGATTATTTTTTATTTGAAGGATCGCTACATATATGGATATTTAATGTCTTTGAAGGTATTGTCTCACATGTGCTGTAGTACAGACAATCCCTTGTATTCATACAGCAGGATGTTTTTCCAGTAGTAAAACAAAGTATGCCTAGATATACATTTCTTCAAGGATGTGCCTAATCTACTACACAATTCTTAGCTTTGCTGTTCCTAGAGGAAGCTCAGAACTGAGTTTTAATTGTGGTGGTGAGGTGCTAAAGCTCTTAAAACCACAGGCAAACCACAAGACTGGAAAGTATGTTCTCTTGGATTGCAGATCAAAAGCAGCAAACACCATTTTTACTGACATTTTGAATAGAGGCTTCCTCTCCCTGGAGTTATTATGCAGTGGTTGCAGTAGTGTGCATTTCTGAAGAGCTTCCTGTGTGCCAGCTCAGCACAGAATTCATCTCTGCAACATCCTGTCATTTGAGAAATCTCTGCTGGGCTGTTGCATGTTGGCATGGAGAAATTAGAGCTATCTTGTGTAGATTGATTAATTTTACCCACATTTGAAGGCTCTGTTTGAAGCCTTCTACATAGTATTTTCTCATACTTTCTCAGAGATGGCATTTTAAAAGTTAGACAAACTGCTCTCTGTACATATTTGTGCCTTAGAAATAAAACTTGGAAAAAAGACAGGTGCCCAAATACGGCCACAAAAAGCTCCTCTTATAGCTTTGGCATGATTTTTTTTGGACCTCTGACTGTAGTCAACAGTTTTAGTTCAGACCATGACTCTTTAGTACTGCTGTGTAGCGCTTAACTGAAAGTTTTGCAGTGTGCTACCTTTAGAATATGATACATGGACCAAATTACGAATATGCAGAGTATCCCTAAAGATAAGGCACAACAGGTTTCATTATTTGTCCTGAAAGGAGTCTTGCAAATGCCGAATTAATCTGTCCCTACTTTAGAAATTACTTTAAGGAATGATGAACTCAATTAATTTGTAGGTGTTTTATATTTGCTGCTAGATTATTTTCACTGGGGAATTTGAAAATAATGGTTGCAATTGTAAAGTCTCAAAATTTGAGATCTAGCTTCACTGTAGTTATGGAACCATCCTCTTTGTGGCACAGGAGTTTATGTAGCACAATTTCCACATTGACCTGTAGTCATGGATTTTAGAAAATTCAGCCTTTCCCCATACTTCCAATTCCTTTGGGAGGGAGGAGAAAAACACTAGACTGAACATGATCTCAACAGGATCAGTGGAAGAAGGACTCCCCATTCAGACAAAACCAGATCTATTTTAAAAAATTGGTTTTTGTTTATCTGACTTCTCTGCTTTTAAAAGTTGGAAGCATCATGTGGAAAAATGACATATTTTGAGAGATTTCTAAACAGAAATGTAGGTTCCATACCTTAGGGTTGACTTTTCAGTTCATCTACTATGGTGATTGGTGGTGCAGGAAATGGTGAAGAAAAATGAGTGGATGGATTTTTATCTTCTTGTGAAAACATGGTGATTGATAGATATTGCATAGATATGTGTGAATCTGTTAATTTATATTTTTACCTGGCTGCACTTGAAAAGAGGGAAAAAATGAAGAGCAATTTGAGCAAATAAATCCTGCAACAGTTAGTTCTACTTGTTGATTTCAGGTTACCGCATGAGATTAGGATCTAGCACAGACAAAAAGGATTCAGGTCGCCTTCATGTTGATTTTGCTCAGGCAAGAGATGACTTTTATGAATGGGAATGCAAACAAAGAATGCTGGCCAGAGAAGAACGCCACAGACGTAAAATGGAAGAAGACAGACTGCGCCCTCCTTCACCTCCGGCAATAATGCATTATTCTGAACACGAAGCTGCTTTGCTGGCTGAAAAATTGAAAGGTAAGCAGCATTTGCTACTTCTCAGTTTATTATTACTTAAAAGCAGGAGCCATGCAGAGGCCAGAGCAGTGAAGCCAGTTTCACTCTGATGTGTTTCATTACTTGCCCTGTTAGCTTTCCCCCACCGAAATGGCTGTCTTTGCCATTTCTATGCCAGTGGCAATGGCACTCACCCTCCTGCTGGAAATGCATGACATCTGTCTATCTACCTGTGCTTTAACAGCTAAAACACAGCCTTCAGAATGCTACAGATGGGGGTTTTTTTCTGTTAAGTTGCTGCCATCATATATCTTGGAAATACTCTCACAGTAAGACAACCTGTTGCAAGCATCCTTCTTCACATGAAAGGCCTTATTCTTAAAATTACTTTAATCCTCGACATGTAAGTTACTCCATCACATGCACTTGACTGTCCCTGGAATTCAAATTGCTCTCATGAGCTGACATAACTTATCTCTGACACACACCATCCCTTCTTTCACTCCCTCTTTAGGGTTAGAATTACTTGTGCAGGATAGTGTCATGTTTTGGTATGTGTTTGCTTCCTTGTTTGTTTTTTTCTAGGTACATTTACTGAGTTAATATTTTTCAAGGGTGCACTTCAAGGATTCATTTTATTTTAATAGCTAACATAAACAGTAAGAAGCAAAGAAATAAAGTTATTCATGGTAACAAAATTTAAAAGAAATATCTAGCAAACAACTCTTCACACTGCTTAGAGTTGTATTTATTTTCATCAAGTGTTTAGCAGCTGTGTTTGGCATTCTTTCCCCCATGATGGCCAAGCACATTGCTTAACTGTGTGCCAGGTCACAAGAAGCTGTGATTCTTGCCACTATTTCAGAATTAATGAGATTAGGCTTAGGCTATCTAGCTGTCATCACACTGGTCTCTGTTCTAACTATGAAGAATGTTTGGGGAGCCGAAGAAGGACAGTGCAAAGTGTTTCATCCTTGGAGCGTGGAGCAGAGATGCACCCTGCTGTCTCTCTGAGTACTGCATTGGTTGCTGTTAGTTGTTGCTACTACCTCAGTCAGTTACTAGTTTGGCTGATTCTCATCCCCACCAGATGCACTTCTCCATAAAATAATTCATCAATCTATCTGGTAGATTGGTGAAATGACCCAGATGGGTTTATAGACCAGGAGAAAAGAGGCCCTAATACAAGAAATTTTAATTCATACCTAGCTTCCAGTCCAGTTTTAGATCCATCTGGTTTTAGTTGAGTATTTTAGGAGTTAATCTTTTGTAGGAAAGTTTTCTTTATGTAGTAAGGCCTACAGGTTTCCTGAACTAAACCAGAAAATGCAAGACGTCTGGACAATTTCTTCCATATGGTTAGTCATTGCTTGGGGCAACTGAATGTGGGTTTTTGCAAGATGTTTAAGATGACTATATTTAGAAGGATTTTTCTTTTCATTATGGGAAGTTTCCATACTTAATTAAAATCTACTCCTAGCAAATCTACTCTTTGGTTCTCCTAAGGGAAATTTAACCAGAACTTGACATATATGCTCAAGTTTAATATGAAAATTTTTTAGCACAATATATACCAATACTATGTGCATAACTGTTTCTCCAGAAATAAACTTTCAGCAATGTACGTCACTTAAATTAAAAAAACTAAGGTAAGTTTATTTTTTATTGGTTGAAAATCCTTAAAATCCAGCAAAATAATATATTGCAATTTTAAAAGTTCTGCTAATTAACAGTTGCCTTGCTGTGATTGTTGTGAGATTAAAGACACCAGCCCTGGATCTGTACTTATAGGTAAGGGTGGAGAATGCAGAAAAGATCCCTCTCTTCTAAGTGGACATGAGCTGTGCCCTGTTCTAGGTAGTAAAGAAAGCAGAATGGGCTTGAGTAGTTACACTGGTCTGCTTTACCTTTCCTATGGCATCACAGCCAGTATCTGTAAAATAGTGGCATTGGACTTTATAGGCTCCCTTGGGCAACATGGAATCACCACATGAGCTTTTTGTGACATCCTAAAAAAAGAAGTAAAGCAACATTAAAGAAAATTCTCCAGCAAGGGCCAGTTCATGTAATAGACTCATATAATCATTAAGGTTGGAAAAGACCTCTAAGATTGAGTCCAGCCATCATCACACATTCACAATTTAAATGTGGACTTCAGATGAAAGTAGCAAAATGTATATATATGTACACATACACATAGACATACACATATACACACACACTCACAGAGATATGTAAAACTTGGAGTTAAAATCTCAGGTCTCTGTATTATCACCACATTTGTGCTGCTGCAAAAGCCTGGAGAATTCATCCTAAAGTAAAGAAGGATCACAATATGTCTGCAATTGTCAGGATTTAACTTGAGAGATTGTTTCTTCAGCAGATGCTCTGCAGTTGTTTTCTTAAGGAAGGTCATGACCTTGCTGTGGTGCCCACTTCAAAAGACTCCTGAGCTCTGTTGCCAGCTCATGAGACAGAGCTGCAGGTGCCCAACATGCAGGTTTCAGCTCCTGCAGTGCCTCCAGAAGTTCACAGAGCAACACCAGCTAAAAAGCAAGCCAAAATAACTAAACGTATCTCAACCCAAGATACTGCTTTGCAAAACAGATGTAGATAGCTTGGTCTGAATCCAAGCAACTTTTGTTGTCAAAATAACCTTGGAAATTCCTGACAACAAGGAAATCTTATGAGGAGTAGAGATGAAGTAGGCTTATCAGCCACTCCCCTAATGTGGTCTAGATATTTACTGAGTCTGTAACAGAGGTGACAATATTTTTTTTCACTTTCTACAAACTGCAGCATAAGACTAAGAAATCATTGTTTTGTGTAACAGACTTGGCTGGAAACTCTTGCCCCAGTGTTGTCAGCATATTCCCATTCCTCTGGTGTGCTGAAGTTACCTGGTACAGCAGTGACTGTGGGTGAGAGAGTACAGAGGAACTTTTCTGCCAGTTGGAAACAGAATTTCATTGTAAATTTTCAGCCAGGCAGTCTCTACTGGTGTGGAGTTTCACAGAACAAAGGAACCAGTTCTCTAGTGCCTGGTGACTGGGGCTGGGAATCCACTGCCTCTGAGGCCTCATATACATGAGGATTTATAATATACTCTCCATTCCCTGTGGACTACCCTGAATCTCTTCATATCTGCAAAGAACTTGGTTTGAACAATTAATTTTTGCGGGAATTAAAGAAACTATGGACCAGTGCAATTTTTCATCACTTTGCAATTCAGTGTGTAGCAAACAGTGTTTGTTTATGTGTATCTCCCTTTCCCTTTTGCTTTTTTCCTTTTTTTTTATTTATTAGGATCTTCATTACTCCTGCAAATGAAGTCCTTCTTAACTCTCTCCTTGTTGGCAGTATGAACATTTTTTTCCTGCACCATTCATGTCATTAGCCTGAGCCTTAATTTTCAAAATGAAATGAGCTCCAGCATTCCAACAAGATGAGTAACATGAAGAACATGAGATCCTCCATAAATTCACAGAAAATACCTCCATAAATTCACAGACGTGAACTCTGGGAATCCAAGGTCATTTACAATGAAGTGTAAATGTTATTTACCTCCTTCAACAGCCTTTGAAAATAGACCTTGAGTTCTCGTTTTGACAAAACCAGCAGAATATTGTGTCTTCAGCAATTACACTAGAAAAAAGTGACTTTCACTTCTTCTGGTTCGTTGCAGCATTTGTGTGTGTCTTTGAGATTTTAATTCCTCAGTGTTAAATCAGATGTGTTATTACTGCACCGTGGAATGTGTCGGTAGATATTTAGGTTCAAATTTGCATGCTCTGACATCTGTTTTCCTGAGTGCGTTATAAACAGTTAAGTCATGTGGTGCCCAGAACAAGACACAACTGGAGATAGGCTGAACCTTTTAAGTGGAATGCTGCTCTGTCAGGTGCATTGGAACAAAACATTTTAATCTGTGCTTATGACATTTGCGTTTCAAAGCAGGATTTCAAACATTATGGTTTTCTTAATTCAAGCATATCTGTACCTAATGGTATCATCTTCAGAAATCACTTCTTGCAAATAAGATCCTTTAAAATGCTACATATGTCTGATTTGCTGTGGGTAGCTAAATAGTTCTATCACTTAACAAAGGCATCTCTTTATATCTGAATATCTGGTTTTTAAAATATTTTGAGCAAAGGAGACATAAATATCTGAGAGTTAAATACAATACCCTGGAATTTACCTCCCTTTTTAATGTAGTGTTTCTTTATGAGCACAGGGAAGTTATTCATACAGTTTTTCATTTTAAGAAATATAATTTAAAAATTGAGAAGCTGCTTCTTTGCCAGGCACTGTATTATCCCCTGAAGAGAGCACAGATTGGAAATTTAAATAAATAGATGGCAGTTACAGTAGAATGAGGGATGTGCCATGCACAAGACTCAGGTAACATCAAGCCTGACAATCTCAACTCTTGCACATGGTTTGAAATATAAACAACATTTAATTGCTTGGGAGAGAGGATATTTCACTGAGAAGAAAAATACCCTGCTTTCAATATCACCCTGCACTTGGGAGCCAGACTGATGGAGCACTAGAGAGACAGTGCAGTTATGCAGAGAGGCAAGTCTCATCCAGAAAGGCTCAAATTCAGTGCAGAGCTACATCAGATGGGAGGCAAAGTGAGATCCTATGAACAAATCCAGTGAATGCCAGGTTTAAATGCTGAGACTCTGGGCTTTTTTTTAGCACAATTTTTTTTATTAGCGGTATATCAGGACAGAGCCCTGAAACAGACATGTTTCTACGCTTTAGCATCAAATCTGTTCCCTCACCCTTCCTGGTTTTAGATTATCATTTTCTCCTTCCTTCTTCCATATGCTGCTGACATCTGCTGTGGCACAATACATCTGGCTCCGGGAGCCTCGCACAGGGGCTGTGAGCAGGCACGGTGCGAGGGCACTTTTGTCTGCTGGCACAAGAGCATAAGGTGGGTTCAGCTATCAGCAGCCTGGTAACCCAATTCCCTGGGCACATCCCTCCCAAAGCATACAGGAGGTACA